GCTTCAAGGTACTTCTATCTCCTCAACTTCCACCTCATCTCTCCGCAAAACCACATGCCAGCTTTATGCCTGCTGCTTCTTCTAGAGCAGCAATTTCTCTCCCTACTGCCTTCTCCCTTGGGGATCTCAGACTCCCCACAGCGCTTTAATACACAGTGTCACCTCTCGGCCTCGGATTCCCACCAGTGTCGATGTCACTCCTGAAATCTGGTTCCATATTTCCCAGTGCCTGCTGGATTTCACCTGGATGCCCAACACATATTAAAGTGCAAAGTATGAAACTGAACTGATCAGCATAATTTCTAGTTCATGAACTGCCTTTTCTGCTTTCCTGAATGGCACCATCATTTTATACACTCAGGCCTGCAACTTGGCACGTGTGGCTCTCTGCTGACTCTCACATCCAGTTAATTGCCGCGTCCTGAGTGGATAACCGAACAGATAACTACTGATCTAGTTGGGCTTCCCAGGTGGCTCAGGTGTAAAGACTCTGCCTGCCAATGCAGGAGACACGGGTTTGACCCCTGAGTCAGAAAGATCCCCTGGAGAAGGATGTGGCAACCTACTTCAGTATTCTTGCCTGGAAAATCCCATGGACAGAGGAGCCTGGTGGGCTACATCCATGGGGTTGCAAAAGAGTTAGACCCGACTTAGCAACTCAACAACAACTGATCTGGTCACCACAATGTTTCTTGACTTTTCTTTCTATCAGTGACAATATCTATAACTCCAACTCTTTCTCCAGCTCCAACACTGTCTTTCTCTTCTAATTGTGTTTAATTGCTACTGTGGAAACAACCATTCTAAATGGATTCTGCTTCTTTGTGCTATTCCACTGTTCAAAAATTTCAGTGGATCTCTAGCCCAATGTCAATGATCCTCTGATATCTCAATCAAGTTATTTTTCAGACTTAGATCTTCTCCTTCCTTTCATGCTGTGGCTAAAGTGAACTCTTCAAGATATCCTGATTGTGCCTTATATGTTCTACCTCCAAATAGTTTGTTCTGTTCTTTTTCTTGGAATGTCCATTCTTTCTTCTTTGATGCAGATATTTAAATTTCAAGTCTTCTTCAAGAATAAGAACACAGTTTATCTTATTAATTAGTCAGTCAATTCAGTCACTCAGTCGTGTCCGACTCTTTGTGACCCCAATGACTGTAGCACGCCAGGCCTCCTTGTCCATCACCAACTCCCAAAGTTTACTCAAACTGATGTCCATTGAGTTGGTGATACCATCCAACCACCTTATCCTCTGTTGTCCCCTTCTCCTCCTGCCTTCAATCTTTCCCAGCATCAGGGTCTTTTCAAATGAGTCAGTTCTTCTCATTGGGTGGCCAAAGTATTGGAGTTTCAACTTCAGCAACAGTCCTTCCAATGAATATTCAGGACTGATCTTCTTTAGGATGGACTGGTTGGATCTCCTTGCTGTCCAAGGGACTCTCAAGAGTCTTCTCCAATACCACAGTTCAGAAGCATCAATTCTTTGGTGCTCAGCTTTCTTTATGGTCCAACTCTCACATCCATACATAACTACTGGAAAAATCATAGCTTTGACTAGATGGACCTTTGTTGGCAAAGTAATGTCTCTGCTTTTTAATATGTTGTCTAGGTAGGTCATAACTTTTCTTCCAAGGGGCAAGTGTCTTTTAATTTCATAGCTGCAGTCACCATCTGCAGTGATTTTGGAGCAACCCCAAAGAAAGTTTGTTACCATTTCCACTGTTTCCCCATCTATTTGCCATGAAGTGATGGGACCAGATGCTATGATCTTATTAATTAAGCCTTCAATTGAAGGCAATTACCTTTTCTTTGAAATTTGATGTGTTTTATTTGTTTCTAAACTTTGGCATGCTTATACCTTTTTCTTTTATAGTTCAACTTTTAGTTTTTTGAGGACCTTCTGACTGTTTTCAATAGTGGCTATACCAATTTTCAATCCTACCAACAATTATAACTTTCTAAGTTGTTTTCCTTTGTCTTTTAATCTTTTTTTAAAAATCCTTTCTCCTCTATTTTTCTACTTCTGCATTTTCCACATCATTTAGTGTAAAAAAGAAAAAAGAATCACTCAAAGAATTGAGCATTGTTAGAAGAGAAAAGAGCTCATGTGAGTGAGTAGAATATACTTAAGAATGAATGCTGAGTGACTGAAATGTATGGAAATTGTTTTGATTATGCCTGTCATTGGGAAGATGAGGTCGTTATGTCATCTGCATAATACCACACATTTGGATGAAAACGGAACAATTCTGTCACCAATTTTATTCACCAAAAGTTCAGATGTTGGGTATTTCTTAATCAAATAATCTAGGTGTTTTTATATGGAAAAGAAGTGAGAGACTTTAAACAACATTAGGAAAGAGACATACATTTTTGGGAAACAGTGAAAATTCATTTATTATCTAAAATTGAAAATGTTTTAGATTTAGGTTTGTCCACTTCATTAAGACCTTAGTAAATGTAACACAAAGTTGACATGGTCCATTTCCTCTCACAGCATATTAAACCTAGACAACGTATTAAAAAGGAGACCTTTGCTGACAAAGGTCTGTCCAGTCAAAGTTATGTATTTTTCCAGTAGTCATGGATGTATGTGAGAGTTGGGCCATAGAGAAGGCTGAGCACTGAGGAATTGATGCTTTTGAACTGCGGTTTTGGAGAAGACTGTTGAGAGTCCCTTGGACTGCAAGGAGATCCAACCAGTCAATCCTAAAGGAAATCAGTCCTGGATATTCACTGGAAGGACTGATGCTGAAGCTGAAACTCCAATACTTTGGCCACCTGATGCAAAGAACTGACTCATTTGAAAAGACCCTGATGCTGGGAAAGATTGAAGGCAGGAGGAGAAGGGGACGACAGAGGATGAGATGGTTGGATGGCATCACCGACTTGATGGACATGAGTTTGAGCAGGCTCTGGGAGTTGGTGATGGACAGGGAAGCCTGGTGTGCTACACTCCATGGAGTCCCAAACAGTCGGACATGACTGAGTGATTAAAATGAACTGATTTCCTCTTATTTTGTCTGGAGGGCTGGGTTAGGGTTATAAAATGTGACCTTTTTATTGAGAATGGAATTGGGAATGGAATGGTTGCTTCTTTTTGCTTAAAAAAAAAAAACCTGTTTTACTGCTGTGTATGGTTTATTGTTATGCTTTTCATTTTAATCCTTAAAATGATAATTGCCTCAGGTTTCTCTTGCATAACATCCATGAAAATTTTGATAATCTTTGGTTTTGATTAATAAAACTCTAGTCAGTATTATGTTCACCTTTTTACATATGGTAATGGTCTGGAATCTTCACAACAAATGGCACATATATTGTCTCTTATACTAGATTGGATTGAATAATTTCCAAGTTGAATGTGTAATTTAAGAATCATACTGCAAGGTTACTGCATAAAAAAAATTTTGAGTAAGTCTCTATTAAGATGGCAAACTTTTGGGAGATCCACAGACCTCTTGGAGCAAAGAATAAACAGAGGCTGCTAATACCAGTACAGTATGAATGCTGAAGCATCACCAAATCTCTCTTTAGGGTAACACATGTATTTATACTATGGAACTTATTTGTGTTCATTAAATTCCAGATGATAACCTAAAGTCCTGACTGCACATTAAGAAGCAAATGCAATTCATTGCCCAGTCAATGATCCATTGTTTGCTGAATCTTTTCATGAGGTTCACATGTATTAAGGAGGTTTTCAGCATATGGGTCAAATTTCTCACATTCATTTGTTTGCAGAACAGACCATATGTCCTAATCCAAACTATGAGAATTCTCTAAAGCTGCCACTAGCCCTCTGGGCCACCTTATTATTTAATAAAAATAGTAAATGTCCTATTTGTTCATTCTCTGTGCAATTAATTTTAAATGTTTGATAAAAATATATGGTAAAGGGTTCAATATTATGATATTTGATGTGAAAAGGGATATTTGAGAAGTCATGATGGTGTTTCACAGTTTGAAATGCTCAGCTTAGCTCAAGATGCTTTAACACAGTATGTCCTGGGTATATTCACTGAATTACAGCTTTCTCCAGTCTCTGGTAGATGGGTTCTATAGATTGGAATACATGTCTGCTCTGGATCTGCATTCTGTTCTCCACTGGGACTGTAGCACTCCCTTGACTTAATTGTTTTGAGCCCTGACAACCCCCTCCTCTGCACTCCCACTGGGTTGGCCGAGTTCGCCACACTTGTAGTCACTGAAAGAGGTCTTGTCACCAAACAGACATGGCTATCTTTACTCAAGTAACACCACTGCTTTACCTGCTTACCTGAACCCTACCCTCCTCCTTTCTTCATAGGGTCAGATGTCTAGAACATCAAAGGTAGCCCAGAATAGAGACGATTTTCTTGACTATTCTTGGAAATTGTAATGTGATTGTTGACATCCTCCTCCAACCCTAAGGTGATCAGCCTTTCTTACCCAAAAGGATGCTCTCTTCCTAGATAATCTTGCCAGATCAGTTAGCTGAGTACTCCGTGGCTATACATATTGAGTATTCTAGCTTTCTGACTTTGAGTGCTTATGATAAAATGTTAGTTCTTTCCATTTTGCAATTTTTCATGGTGAAAAAGGATTCTTTACTATTTAAATTTGGACCTCATTATTTATTTCCAATAATTCCCAAGGGAAGTAATTAATCGGTTTTTGAAATTTTACTTTAGGTGAAAATACTTTGTAAGACTATTCCCTGATAGCCATTCTGCCAGATGGTTAACTAACGCAAGTAAAAAACTGCACAAATAGATGTTTCTGTGAGACTGTCTTTGGAACAAAATCTCCTATAAACATCCCTCACTCTTTTTGTTTCATTTAATAAAGCAATGAAATATTTAGTGCAATTCGGCAACAGACTTTTTGGATTAGTCTCTACAGATGGTTCAGAGAATATTCTGTGTTAGATGAAAGCATATAAACTACTACAGCATAAGACACAATATACAGAGTTAAAATGGACAATAAGGAAATCTAGAGTAAAAAGAAGTATTACCTTAGGGTCATGTATTCCAGAAAGCTCTTCATAGATCTTTTCACCTACCATGACAGCAGCCAAATTCGCCGTGTATGTTGAAAGGCAAAACATACAGAAAATGGCCCAAAGGTTCATCAGAAACCTTCCAGTCCAGCATTTTGGGGGTTTGATAGCTGCTGTTCTACCAAACAAGAGAGCATAACAGACATTCAAGGCTGAAGAGAAGGAGAAAACTTTACTTCTATTCCGCCCCTTGGGAGTCATGCCAAAGGGGCTCTTCCATTCATAGAGAGTGAGGAAAATGGCAGTGATGTGCAGAGCCACAAAAATCCCCAGCCACATTGTCCAGTGGAGTGGCCACATGAAGGCTCCGATGGGAGCTGCTGTGTCTCGCGTCCTCACTAAGATGCCCAAGCTGGTGGAGAAGAAAGGGCTGGTGAAATCTATCACCTGGCTTCGTGCAGTATTGATGCTGAAGGAAGTGACTGCCAAGTGGGCTGACCCACTCAGGAGATCACCCACCAGCCCAGTCCAGTGCCCATTTTTCCAGGCTCCATATTTGCCATCCCCAACAATATAGAGATCAAAGTCAAAGTTCATGTCTTCTGCTAGTTTTTCCAGTAGATCAATGCAATATCCATAGCAGCACTTCTTCAATTTTATGGGCACTGTATCATTACTGCTATGGAGGCTGCTAAAAAGGCTGTCCAATATGGAAGAATCATTAGTCATGGGGTCTAGACAGAGCTGGCCAGCAGGGCACAAGCCTTCATCATCGACCTCCCTTGTGAAGACAAATGGATGCTCTATCAGCGTAACCACTCGCAAGTGTAGTTTACTTGGATGCTGAAAGTGGGTTTTGTGCCTCTGGGCTTGCTCTGGCCATATTCCATAGTCCATGACAATCTTCCCCCTCTGCCAGCTGCCCAAGCGTGTCCACATTGGCTTTCCCATGGGGTCATTTTGCAGATTCCAGATGAAAAAGTTGTTTTCTGAGCTGATGATAGTGGAACCTTTCACTTTGATGGAACCACTGAGGCCTCTGAAAGTGGTGTTGGCTAGAAACCTGGCAAAGAGGAGTAAAGGCAGAAAGTAAGGAAGAGGCATGAGGGCAAAGTCAGGAAGCAGTGTCCATCTTTGCTTCTCTGTCTTAGTAAAAAAACTATTTTAAAAAAAGGCATTGCCTAAATTACTTTAGGAATTAATAAGCTAGAATCTTTGTAGGAGAAGAGTCCTATTTCATTGAGCAAATGAAATCTCATCCTCATGTTCTAACACCTGGACTGGGTGTTTGACTCATGGCCTTACTACAAATCTTCATTCCCAATTAAGGGGTGTGTTAATTAATTTGTTATAAATGGTTAATTATATATTCTCACAACTTTCCAAGCTATGGAAGTTCTCAGCACCTTTAACATATCTCTACTGTTCACCACATTCAACTGCAAATAAATCAGCTCAATAAATATCTTTGGTGCAAGGAATAAGTTTTAATAAGTATTCATATACTTCAATAATTGCTTAACATTATATTCATAATTCTAGAAAATAGCCAAATCTTGTTATCAGTGTTTCTCCTTTCAGAGTGGAAATAATCAACATGTCTGTCCCCATGAGGCCAGTCAAAGCTGCATGTTGGATGCGATCCATGGAACAAAGAAAAAGATGATAAATAGACTTGCAGTTCCCAGGACAGCCTCAGGCTAACCTCCCTCTAAGTCATTAGAGAAAAACAATTGGCTCTGGCTCTAGAGAAAGCTTCTGCCAGAAGTCAAAGAAAGGAAAATTACCAGCTGAATGATATACTGATTCCTAACCCTGTGAACCAAGGCACCGTCAGTACATGTTCTGCTATGGAAAAGGCAGAAAAATGCTTGGTCAAAGTCTCTGTCTTTCTTGAGTTTTTGAAGAAGAGACAAAAGAGGTAACATACAAGCTTGTGGCATCTCTGTACTCTTAATTATGGCCTTGTGTCAAGGAAAGCCCACAGTCTGAAATCAGACACACCTGTGTTAAAATATTGGTCCACCCACCTTCTAGCATTGTCCTTGGACACCGATTTACTGAACTCTAAGCTTCAGTTTTGTCATCAGCAAAACAGAGGAAATAATTACATTTTTATTTGTAAATTACTTCTGCTGTAAGGGTTAGAAATAATTCATGTGAAGTATATACTATACCTTTTGACATAGAACAATTGTTCCAGATATGGTAACTATTATTTAAAGTCTTTTAAATTTTTTCAATCAAGGCCATACGCAATTATTTTCCTAGTCTCTTAATAGAACTTTTGCAGTTGGAGACACAAAGTATTGCATTATGATAAACTCATAGAGGGTACTCAAGACACATTTCAAATTAAAAGAAATTAAATTGAAATGTGGACTGTAACATAGCAGATTTTTGTGAAGAGTTGGATGATACAAGTCTAGGTCCTTAGCAAAATACATTAATCCATTGTTTGCCACAAATTACTCTGTAATTTACAAATGCAAATACCAGTAGTAGGAAGTTACACTGCCACAGAAGAAACATAGAGGAATCAGAAAGTGTGAAGAATGTACTAATTTTCATTAAAGATATAAATGTAAATCACATTTGAAGATCCTTCCATCACTAAAAGCAATATAACTGCTCATTTTGGTAGATTGTGTATAATAGTAATTATTCACATTAGCACTCCCTTGTGGGACTCTACCACTTAAAATGAATTCTATTTTGCAACAAGTAAAAGTCTTCATTATCTTACATTTTAAAACAGTTTTCTGCTTCTTTAGGGAAGTAGAGAACCAAATCATTAAAATATACAGATTAATCAATCGATAATTACTTAGGTAGTAGAACAGAAGAATGACTATAATTGTGTTTCTGATGAGCAATCTACTATTAGATTTGTTAACACACACACACACACACACACATGGATATAGCCTAAGGAATAAAATAGTTATTAGTAAATGGGTTAATTTTACTTGGTCCATTTAGTGATCAGGAAAGCAAAGTTGTAGAAAAAGAAACTCTTCATTATTTTAAGAATATATGGGGCTTACTGATTATAGACTTTTAATTGGATGGACCTACAAAGAGCTACCACTGAGTAAATATATACTTAAATTATCTCAGAAAAGAGGGTTTCAGGAATCTTTCAGAGATTAACTCCATCATTCCAGTAAAATGTATTCCTCTTTGTCGATGTTAAATAACATTCAGCATGGCCATGGCTAAAGAACAGGGCTTAACTGTCTCTGAGGCATTCATCTGTCACTGAGACAGACATATCAATCAGGATCTAAATGTCTTCCATTCCCCAGACCGGAAATTCCAGTGTTTGTTTCAGTATGGAATTGGCACCTAGAAACTGGGTCTCAGGAAATCCCCATTTATGATAGATTATTTCTATTTTACTTTCAGTTTTACAGAAAAAGTAAAATAATCTCATTAATAGCTTTAGTTATTATCACCTTCACCATGTATTCTTTATAATGGAATGACAATGTGCAACAAAATTTGAATACTCATATATTAGTTAAAAGATTACAATGTTGAAATCTTGCTTTTGTGTAAACTGATTTCTACCATGTTCCTTTTTATTTTGCCCTGGACTCTTCTTGGATGAACAAAAAAAGGGAAAATCAGGAATAACTTTACTGGCAAGGTAAACTGATACAAATATATACCGGTGCTGTTGTTAGTATAAGTTGTAAAGATGAAAGACACTCTCATTGTTCTCAAGGAGCTCAGTCTCATGACGGGGAGAGCGAAAAGCAAGCAGGCAATTCTAAGCCGGTGTAATTAGCACCCTGACGGAGGCGGGATTAGGGGGCATTTGGAGAAGACTCTTGAGAGTCCTTTGGACTGCAAGGAGATCAAACCAGTCAATCCTAAAGGAAAATCAGTCCTGAATATTCATTGGAAGGACTGAAGCCGGAAGTGAAGCTTCAGACTGAAGTTGAAGACAAGTTTCCGACTGAAGCTGAAACTCCAGTACTTTGGCCACCTGATGGGAAGAGCTGACTCACTGAAAAAGCCCCTGATGCTGGGAAAGATTGAAGGCAGGAGGAGAAGGGGAAGACAGAGGATGAGGTGGTTGGGTGGCATCACTGACTCTACGGACGTGAGTTTTAGTAAGCTCTGGGAGTTGGTGATGGACAGGGAGGCCTGGTGTGCTGCAGTCCATGGGGTCACAAAGAGTTGGACATGATTGAGCGACTGAATTGACTGGAACAGAAAGCAAGGGCACCTGAAAATTCCACTGTAGGGGTGACAAGAAAGACTTCTCAGAGGAGGAGGTATGAGAGCTGAGTCTTTTTTTGTGGGGGTGGGGGATTGTAAGAAATTTTACTTCCTGAGGCAGAAGTCCATGAAGCTAGGAATCTCATGTGAAGTGAAGTGTTAAGTTGCTCAGTTGTATCTAACTCTTTGTGACCCCCACGGACTGTAGCCCACCAGGCTCCTCTGTTCCTGGGATTCTCCAGGCAAGAATACTGGAGTGGGTTGCCACTTTCTTCTGTAGCGGATCTGCCCAACCCAGGGATTGAACCTGAATCTTCCACATTGCAGGCAGATTCGTCTACCACCAAGTCACCAGGGAAGCCCTAGGAATCTCATATGCATACTAAATACACTGAAGACAAACTTTATCTAATCAACAATATTGATTCAGGGCAGTTTGCCATTTGCTATATAATTCTCACCAATAATCACTACTTTGGCATTCAGTGCAATTTCATAGCATACAGGAAACCAAACTTAAACAAATACTTTATCTTGAAAAGCCACATAACCAAATAGCAACATATGCAGAGAGACAAGCAAAGATGTACGTATAGAAAGGATATACTTTTTAACTCATCGTCACTAAGCTACAGAGCACATTAACAATGATTTGCCCTTTTCTGCTCCAGGCTCTCCTTTGCTTGAAATAGCAAATGTAAATGCATGTTAAATGATATTTTAAAAGAAAAATAGGAGCAATCATTGGAATAATCACATGATTTTGACATTGTATGTATTTTTTCATGTGTAAGGAGATTTTATTTAGAATTTGACGTGGGAAAGTTGTCAAAAATGTTAAAAGGTTTGAATATTTAACTAAACAGGATGTGGTCATTGTGAAACAATACTTAGTTATCAATTTAACTGAAGTAATAATGAGAGATTTCAAAGGCAAATATGAGATAACATGAAAGAAATCTTAGAGAGCTGAATCTTGAAGAAGGAATTATAGTTAAGCAGGAAGAGAAGCTAGGGACCAATGCTGTCAGCCCAGGGAGATGTGTGTGCAAAAGTCAGAGACAGAGCAAGCTGCCTGATGATGAGTGGTGAGAAGTACGGCTGGAGATGAGGGTGGGAAATGAAGTACAAAAGGACTACGATTATGATGAATGTAACAGCCATTGAGAGAATTTTTCTGGGGAGGGACAGGACCATCAGCTTTGATTTTAGAAAGATCTTGTTTTCCTGCTAGCTAAGTGGGAAACGGTTTGGAAGGAGAAGCGGGCTGAGAACAGTTTCAGATGTGAGGAATGCTTCTCCTTTCCTCCCCTGACTTCCTCTCTTCCTCTCTCTCTGCTTATTTCACAAGGGGCTTAAGGTGACAAGGGCTAAGTTATAACAGAAGTGGAGAAAATGGCATAATCAGGAGGTATTATAGTTTCCAAAAGAAAAGTAGTGATTTTAAGAGGGTCAAATGTACAAGGTTGCATTTAATTCACAAACTATACTAAGGATATATAAAACTTGGCTTGTTGGAAGGTCATATAAATAAGACCGGGAATAATTGGTTGTGTATCAGGTAAATGTAAGCCCATAGAGCACTGTGGGGGAAAAAGAGAAATGTAATATCAAATTCCTCTAATAATAATTTAGAACCTGGATCACAGGTACCAATAATACTGCTACATTCTGTGCTGATCATATTACCCCTCCAGTCTAGCTATTAATTCTCAATAGATCTTCCAGTTCAAGTATTATGAGGGAAGGTAAGGAGGTGGGAAATTTAACAAGAATGGTAACTATAACAATCTTATTGGAGAGCAGAATAGAAACATATTCAGGTTGTAACTG